AGCTTTGCCACTGACTTTGCTAAGGCCAGGGTTTCACCCATGAATTCTTATCTTTACAGAGGCTGGGGGTGAGCTATTTGCAGCCCAGAGGGACAAAACTACCACGCAGCCAGAGTAATTTCTTTTTATGAGCTTGCTTGGTCAGGGTTTCCTGCAAGGCACTGGCAATTAGGAGAAAGAGGAGTCCAGCAACAGCGAGGCCCAGCCGGCTGATATTCACAGATCAATAACTCCACCTGGCTTTTTTTCTCTTTAAGTCTCAGACAAAGGAGCTTATTTAATAGAAGCAGCTGGCTTTCCTTAATATCTGTTTTACTGGTATCACTTCAAAATCAGACTTAGGATTCCCATACTAAGTTAAGAAACTAAATTCAGCCCTCTGTTGATCTAACCCTTATTCCTGCCAGGTAGCTCTATGAAAGCTATTGAAGAGGGATTTTCTGTGTGTAAGAGCAGGGCTTCTACTTTACTGCCGATTCTATTAGTTGTTTAAATTAGGCAAATATACCTAAATACAATCAAGAGAATACTGCCAAGACCACCACATAATTGTCTGTTGCTTGACTTCTCTCTTAAATATAACAGGGAGGAGAATGGCTAGAGTGCTTACAATAGCTACAGCACTTTTTGCTCAGCCCCTGTGTTTGGACACCATAGCACATATGGCTCCCTAGGAGAAAATATGACATTTGAGCATGTTATGTCCCACTGCAAACATATTGTGTCACCCATGTGGACCAGAGCTGTGTGGCTACAGTATGTACAAGTGTTATGTTTATTACGTGTAGTACAGAAATACCATTTATTGTGAAAAGTAGCTTCTTATGCTCCCTGAATCCTTTGCACAGGCAAGTAGGAGGAGTTCCTGCATCAAGGAAAACCTTATCACACTAACCCATCTCCTTTGTTGCATCAATAGAAGCAGTAATACTGTGGAAACCTCATTTAAAAATGAGAATATATAAAGCAAGTCATCTTTCAACTGTTCATATGGACCTTATCACTTTACAGTCCCAGTCCCACCAAGAAAAAAGCCTGTTCGTAGATGCAAATATAGACCATTAGGTAAAGATCTATACAAATACAAGATACTTTTAGAGGGGGCCAAGATGATTATACAGAGGTACCAATAACGGAATGTATTGTCTGTCACCAGTAGACTCCTACAACCCAAGGCCCCAGCCCCAGAACTGGACTCCAGTGAAGTGTTGGAAAGGAGGAGTCTACCTGTGTGAATGTGACTGCAGGATCAAGGCATGAGTTAGTAAAAATGTAGACCTGTCATTTTCTAAAGGCTGTTCTACGATCTGCATGACTCGTCTCAGTCCTGTTCTTGATACGTGTCCGCGGTACAAACCTAACGCAACAGCTGGGTTTCTATCGGCAAGTCCAAACTTTGAGACTTTGGCATGGGACTGAGTTACTCTTTCATTCTTTGAGACATTCCTTCCAGGTAACGGTTGTAGCACATTTGCAAGGAAGCTTACTCCACTGGTACCACACTGGTGCCACACTGGTTGTTTGGAATGACAATAGAGAGCAACCAGGGGTGTACCTGAACACGCCAGGAAGTACTTAGAATGAGCAGACACCTGCAGACGAGGACAAAACACAACTTAACAGAGGGGAAAAAAGCAATCGGCAACACGGACATATGATCACAGCATTCTGAGGAGACTGGAAAAACTGTGATAAAAAAATGAGGTGCAGAAAAATGTACCAGAAAAGCATGGTAGACTGATAGAGGACTCTCAGTGTTTCTCATACATGTCTTCCAAGCTATGCATCACAGTGCCAGCAGCCTCCATCTCCTGTGGTCTGATGGGACTGCTGTCAGACCTTGCTCTGTATATTCGAATCCTTGGCTTTATTTTTGTCCCTCTTCCTGCTTCGTCAATAAATTATCAACCCCACACCTTCGGCGACTGGGATTTTTTTTAAGTACAGGGTTGCTTTTAATGTTCAGTTAGGTATGATAACAGGATAAAACTTTCTTGGCACTGGAAACTGCCCGAAGCTCAGACTTGCAACACTCTCCAGTGACAGCAGCTGCACATCCAGCAGCGCAGTGACACTGCGGGCGCAGCTATTGTTAGGGCTACGTCAGCACTTCCATGATAAATACACATTATTTTCAGGGGTGTGTAACTCAAGTTGCCCAAGTGTACTCCGCGCTGCAGCTTTGTACCCAAAGCTTGGGGTCAAGGTCTCGTGGTGGCCAGGTCACTTTTATTTTTACTTATTTTGCCACCATTTCTAAGTCTTTCAAATGTACACAGCAAGTTGTACCATCCTTTTGATTAGAGCCCTGGATAAAACACATGAGGTGAAAAGGAGCACAGGGGCAGGCAACCACAATACAGGCAGTCCTCAGCTAAAGACAACGAGCAGCACTTAACGACGTTTATAAATCGACACCCTGTTTTGACTATCTGACGTCAGTGTTGACTTTACAATGCTTGATCCGACGCCACACCAGCGAACAAATTCGCTGCATCGCCCATCTCCCTGAAGACCATCTGTCCAAACTTCCTTGGATGCTTTCTTTAAAAAAGCAGACGAGACTCCAGAAAAATCTGCAGCCAAAACTCCTGAGAAAACTCCAGCCTAGAACCCTTCAAAAAGTCCAGCCAAGTCACTTCAAAGAAGTCCTTCCAAATCAATACAATTGCTATTTACAATATAAATACATTCATGTAGCTAGATTACTCATCTATAATTGATCGAGTACAAAATTCTGGGTTATTTTTGGTGGGTATCGGCCTTGGTTCAGGAACCAGCCCCCCCCATTTATAACATCGTTCCTATGGGAAAATCAGTTCCGAGTTATGATGTTTGGACTTAAGACGTGGCTGTGCGTGAACAATTGGTGCCCCCTGAGTTGGGGTGGGGGGGCACTTGCCTCCCCCCAGCGGCCAGTCAGCAACCGGGGGGTCTCCCTGCGGTTGATTGCATTTCATTGGGGGGGGGGGAGGGGGGGTTCCCCGGCGGCTGATCACACCAACCTGGAAGTGCCAGTGGTGCACTGCTGCCACTTCCAGGTGGGCACGATCGGCCGTGGGGGAACACCCCGCCAGATGGCATGATCAGCGGCAGGGGGACCACTTCTCCTGGAGCCCCGACTTCCCAGCCGGCGCTCTCAGGGGGGCCACCAGCGCTCTTGCCTGCCCATCACCTAAGCGGGGAACGCTGGCTGTCAGGGGTTGCACCCCCTACATGTCACCAGGCTGTCAGGAACCCGTTGTGCTGTAAATCCAAGGACTGCCTGTAAACAGAGTTTCTTTTGGGGGGGCGGGGGGATGGACTCATGTTGATTCAGAAACGGTTTTGGGCCCAAGGTGTCAGGTCTCCAGGCTGTAGCCATACTGGTCTAGAGAAAAAGGCAATCAGGACTCAGAGTAGAGAGGATACCTTTGACGAGACCAACAAGATTTTTGCAAAAAAATTTCTTAGAGAGGATACCATAGGATAACTGCGTATGAGACATCTACGTTGGTGTAACTTGCTCCATTGTAGTTTTGCTGCTGATTTGCTTAGGGTTATGCTACATCAGATTATGTGGGGGGAGTTCAGATGTAGGCGTGTATGTTGTGTGTTGACTTCCTGTTCATACAGATCTAAAGGTGGGTTACACAGGTGTAAATATGTCATGTCTCAGCAAGTCCCTGTGTTTCTGCTATGGTTACCTTTTATGAGTCCAACAAGATCTTTGCAAAAAAATAAATGTCTTGCAGAGAATACCTTTGATGAGACCAAGATCTTTGCAAAGAAAATTCTTGAGAGAGGATTCCTTTGATGAGACTAAGCCTTTTTTTTGCAAAAATCTTGTTGGTCTCATCAAAGGTATCCTCTCCAAGACATGTATTTTTTGCAAAGATCTTGTTGCAGGGGATACCTTTGATGAGACCAACACGAACTTTGCAAAAAAAAATTCTCTAAGAACTTTTTTTTTTTTTTTTTTGCAAAACTCTTGTCGGTCTCATGAAAGCTCCCGTCTCCCCTATGCGTCCCGACTGCCCGCAGCCCAAGGTGCTGCGTGCCCTCCCCTGCAGAGGCGGAAAGGCGCTCCCCCGGCGAGGCCCTGCGCGGGGCGCCGGCGGGCGCAAGGTGCGAGCTGGGCGGGGCGGGGCGGGCGCGCGAGCGCATTACGCAGGGCCGCAGCGCCGCGTGTCCATA